TCTGCAAACCAGTGAAGACCCTCCTAACCCCCACCTGAGCCTGGTCAAGCCCCACTGCCCTGCCTTGTTGCAGTAACCCTATCTCCTCCCAGGCTCCTGAGAAGCAGCACAGCAATGGGAGCTGGCTGGTGACAGAGTTCGTGCTGGAGGGATTCTCCAACCTCCCCGAGCTGAGGCCCACTCTCTTCACCTTGTTCCTCCTCACCTATCTGGTCACGCTCAGTGGCAACGCCACCATCATCACCATCATCCAGGTGGACCGCACCCTCCACACGCCCATGTACCGCTTCCTGGCTGTGCTCTCTCTCTCTGAGACCTGCTACACACTGGTCACCATCCCCAACATGCTGGCTCATCTGCTGATGGAGAGCCAGGCCATCCCCATTGCGGGCTGTCGGGCCCAGATGTTCTTCTTCCTGGGCTTGGGTTGCAGCCACTGTTTCCTCCTCACACTGATGGGTTATGACAGGTATGTGGCCATCTGCCATCCCTTGCGCTACTCCGTGATCATGAGACCCACCGTCTGCCTGAGTCTGGGAGCCTTGGTTTTCTGCTCTGGTTTCTCGGTGGCCTTGATCGAGACCTGCCTGATCTTCTCCTCGCCCTTCTGCGGCACGGGCCACGTGGAGCACTTCTTCTGTGACATCGCGCCTGTGCTGAAGCTCAGCTGTGCAGAGAGCTCTGGCAAGGCGCTTGCCATCTTCTTCCTGAGCATCCTCGTGGTGCTGGTCTCCTTCCTCCTCATCCTCCTGTCCTACGCCTTCATCGTGGCAGCCATCGTGAGGATCCCATCTGCGGCTGGCAGGCACAAAGCCTTCTCCACCTGCGCAGCCCACCTCACTGTGGTTATAGTGCATTTTGGCTGCGCCTCCATCATCTACCTGCGGCCAGACTCTGGGGCGAACCCCTCCCAGGACCGCCTGGTGGCTGTGTTCTACACGGTGGTGACGCCTCTGCTGAACCCTGTGGTGTACACCCTGAGGAACAAAGAGGTGAGGGTAGCCCTGAAGAAGAGCCTGGGGAGGAGCGGTGGGCTCTGCTTGCATTAATGAGTTCCCTTCCTAGACTGGGCATCCCCGCCCAGAAAACCAGATCCATCTGTGGTTTGTATTGTTCAAGACAGAGTCTCACTATGTTAACCTGGAACTCATGATGTAGACTGTGCTTGATTTGAACCCACAGAGAGCTGTCTGCCTCTGCCTTCTGAATGCTGGGATTAAAGGCGAGTGCCAACCAGAACTGGTTGGTTGTTGTGGCGCTCCCCTTAAAATCCCAGCATGTGGGAGGCAGAAGCAAGCAGGTCACTGAGTTCTAGTCCAGCATTGTCTACAAAGAGAGTTCTAGAACAGCCAGGACTGCACAGAGAAACCTGGCAGATAGATAGATAGATAGATAGATAGATAGATAGATAGATAGATAGATAGATGGCATGTGCCATCAATATTGGGACTGGGTTGGCCTCCTAATCCCCCAGGTTGACAGGTAGAACTTTCTACTGGGGATAGAAGGCATCAAGGTGCTGTCCTTTAGAGACAAAGGGGGACAATACATCGAAGGTAGTGTGGGGAGTCATGGAGGAGTCTAACTTCCTTTTTAGTCCTTTTTAGTCTTTTACTTTTATTTACAGTATATGTGAGTATGGGTGAGTGGGCATGGGCATTTAAAAAAGGTGTTGGACTCCTTGGAGCTGGATACCAGCAGCTGTGAGTTGTCTGATGTTGGTGCTAAGAATCATTTTCTTAACCACTGAACCATCTCCCCAGCCTAGGGGTCTAACCTTTTTGTTAGGTTACTGAATCTTCCTGTCTCTACTGCTCATTTAACCTTCCAGTTTCTGCCATGGGATTAGGATTACCAGGAGCTCACCTGATGTGGCCCCTCCCCCCTGGACTTTCTAGCTGCCAGAACCATAAGAAATAAACTCCCATCCTTAATATATCACCTGACATATGGTCTCCTTTGGGGCTGGTGGGCAGCTCAGGGTAAGCTAAGGCAGAACTTGGTACCAGGCGGTAAGATGAAACCGTCAAAGAGGCTTTAGAATTCAGTGATAAATAAGGGGAGCGTGAAGCTAAAGAAACACACTAAAATAGACTAGGTTTCCGTTAGCATGACCTGGAGCTTGCTATGTAGCCTACACTGGCCTTGACTGAGGATCATCATCCTTCCTTAGCCTCCTGAGTGCTGGCATTATAGGGGTAAAACACTCTTACCGGATCCACAAATAGAAGTTCTTACCACTTCATCCTCATCAGCACGTATTAGCTATAGATACTGGTGGTTTGGGCATGATTTTTTCAACCATGTATATTCAAGCATTTTGATGATACCTATCATCACCCTCTCTCGTTCCTCTTCCATTCTTCCCGATCCTCTCCCTCTCCCCAAGTACTTTCTCCCCTTTCTATTTCCCTGTCTCTTTGTCATTGTTGTTGTTGACTCAGTGAGCTTAGTCAAGCTTGTTTGCATGATTGTGGGTGAACAGTTCCATGGGGGGGTGGGGGTGGGATGAAGCCGGCTGAGAGACTAGCTGAAGTTACGCACACACGAATCTTTGCATCCCACCAGCTCTCCTTTCCCCAGCCACGGCTAAAATCTTGTGCTCTTCCACAGTCCAGTCAAGGAAAGCCACTAACCACAGATGGGATGAGTCTTCACACATTAATCAACACAATCAATGCAGGCATACACAGAGGCCCGTCTCCCAACACCAAACATCACACCGACTGAGACCTGTTCCCCCAACTGTTATAAGACCCCTCGAAACATAAGAGAGTCTCACAGATGCTTGCAAAGAAGTCAGCTGTACTAGGTGCAGGAGTGGGTTCCTTCGGTGGGCTGCTTTCATTTACAGATGCCCCCCCCCCCCCAGCAGGCAACGCAGCAGGAACAATGATTTCCTCTTCATCTGCATGGCCCTCATGGAAAAAGGCTGTGTCCTCCATTGAGGGCCTGCCTATTTCAGCATTTACTCCCTGTAGTTTACCCACACACATGGCTAAAAGTGGGGTTCTTTGAGCCAAGCGTTCAAATACAAGGAATTCTACTTAGAGAAATCATTTCAATTAGGAGTTCAAGAACAGCCTTGGTTACATATTGAATTTGAGTCTAGCCTGTGCTGCATGAAACTCTTCGAAGAGAGAGAAAAAGAGAGAGAGAACAAAAGAACTTGCAAATGAACGAATTCCAAAGAGCTCCAAAAGAAGAATAGGTTGCCTCCATGGACAACAGAAATTCAATCTGTTCAACCTCAGAATTACCCTTCGGGAAGGGCAAGGAGGTTTGCCATGCTCTGGTTTGTTGAAGGCTGTGCCCACAAATCATCTCTTTTATCTTAAACACCCCAAAAAGGCTGTCATGGTGAAGGCTTGGCCCCCTGTGCAGCAAAGGCAGGGCCCTTGGGAAATGACAGGATCATGAGGGCTCTGACTCACAGAATGATCTGCTGATGGATTAATGAGGTTAGGGGAGGAGGTCTCATTTTAAAAGTGAGTTCTCATCCTTGTTGGAGTTGTCTGCTCTTTGTGGCTTCTGTTTGCTTTGTTTTTGAGACATTGTCTTTTTATGTAGCCCGAGTTAGCCTTGAACTTTTTACACCAAGCTGGCCCCAAGCCCAGGATACTCCTGCCTCTACCTTCAGTGCTAGGTGCAGAGGCACCTGTGTGTGTGTGTGTGTGTGTGTGTGTGTGTGTGTGTGTACATGTGTGCCTTAGTTATGGTTTCTATTGTTGTGATGAAACACTATAACCAAAGCAACTTAGGGAGGAAAAGGCTTGCTTGGTCTATACCTCAACATTGCTGTTCCCCATTGGAGAAAGTCAGGACAGGAACTCAAGACGAACAGGAACCTGGAGGCAGGAGCTGATGCAGAGGCTGTGGAGGAGTGCTTGCTTCTCAAGCTTGCTCAGCCTGCTTTCTAATAGAACCATCACTACCACCCAGAGTTGGTACCACCCATAATTGGCTGGGCCTATTACTTTGTACTTTGACCTAAACAATTGATGAAATGACAGTTTTAAAGAAAGAAGGAAGGAAAACAGCTGGGAAGATGGCTCAGCCAATGAAGTTTTGCTTTAGGGATGAATGCCTGTGTTCAGAGCCCCAGCTCCCACTTGAGAGCTGGGTGTGGGCATGTGTGACTCTAGATCTGCAGGGCAGAAACAGGCAGATCCTGGGGCTCCCTGGCCACCTGGGTGAGTGGAAGGTCTCAAGCCCCAGTTTCAGTAAGAGACTACCTGGGGAGAATGGAGAGAGAGGAAGGCACATGACATGAACCCCTGGCTCCCACACGCACACACAGGGCACTTGCAGATACATGCATACACAGATATACACTCCTCCTGTACATAGACAGGCACACAGACCAAAGCACATGAATTGAAAAAAAATCATTCTGCTGCAAACCTACCCACTTTTAAATTTATTCCACTCCTGCTGGGCAGTGGTGGTGCACACATTTAATCCCAGCGCTCGAGAGGCAGAGGCAAGTGAATCTCTGTGAGTTCAAGGCCAGCCGGGTCCCACTCCTAATTTTCATATGTCATGTCCCACTGTCACAGACACTGATTAGAGCAGATGATCTTAGGGGTGACCTGGGGATGACCCCGCCACCTACTGCATCTCCATCAGGGTCCGGAGATATTTTTGGTGACCACCCTGAGAAGGGGCTGCTCCTGGTATTCAGCAAACCAGCCATGTGTTAAACTCCTACAGCACCCAAGACAATATCCCACAGCAGAGAATGTTGTGACCCCAAATGCAAATAGTGCTGTAGCTGAGACACCTGACCCAGTGGAAACCAGTGGAACGTCAACTCTGACACTAGAAGTTTCTCTCTGCCTTACAGAGTGCAACTCATCACTTCCACGTACTTTGCTAGCCACAGAGAAAGAGCTGGAGAGAGTGTGGAGGCAAGCGAAAAGCTATAGAAACAGAGGAAAGTTGAGCCCTTTGTTCAGCTCACATGAGCCGCTCAGCCAAGCCTTCTGGTTAGTTGTGTAAGCTAGTCAACCTTTCTTGAGTCTTACCACCAGCAAAGGGCAGTGGCAGACATCAGCGGACCCGACTCTAAATCCCCAGAACCCTTGTAAAGCCCTGGCATGCCCGTGAGCCCAGCACTCTTACAGTGAGTCGGGAGGCAGAGATGTGCAAACACCCAGAAGCTAGTCCGGTTTATGAAGTGGTGCACAAAACTCGGCCTCAAATGAGGCAAAAATTGAGGACTGACCCCAAAAGCTCCCTGCTAGCCTGCACACACGCGGTGTGGCACGTGTGGTGCCTGTTCACCCCTGCTCCAACGCACAAATGTGCACATCACCACAGAGAAAGAGGAAGAGAGAATGGGAGGGGGAGAGTGTGCAGGAGAGGTTTTAAAGGTAAGGTTCAGACTATAGTTCTGAGAGTAAAGCTCAGCTATAGTGTTCTTGCCTAGCGTACTTTTATTCAACCTTCGGTGACCCCTTACCACCACACACACACACACACACACACACACACACACACACACAACTAAACTACCTCGGTTCCTTAGAGGCTCCAACGTAAACATAAAGGCATCTTTTCATTCACAAGATATAGATACCCAGGGCTGGGAAGATGGTTCTAGGGGCTAAAGGCACTTGCCACCATGCCTGATGACCTGAGTTTTCACCAAGTCCAACATGGTGGAGAGAAAAGGGGTAGTAAGACAACTTAGTGGGGAAAGGCATTTGTTTCCAAGCCTGGCCATCTGAGCCCAATCACCACGTATCGGCAAAGAAGAGAAATGCCTCAAGCAAGTTGTCCTCTGACCTCTACGTGCCAGTGGGGCTCCCCCTTTCCCCACCGCACAAAATAAATAAATAATAAATGTAAAAAAAAAAAAAGATACAGAAACTCAGGGCCGGAGCGATGGCTCAGCAGTTAAAAGCACTGGCTGCTCTTCCGGGGTACCCAAGTTCACTCCCCAGCACCCACATGCAAGCTCAAAACTGCCTGTAACTCTAGCTCCGGGGGATCTGACACCATCACAGAGACACGCGTGCAGGCAAAACACCAATGCGCATGAAAT